TGGATGGATGGATGGATGGATGGGTGGATAGATAGATAGATAGATAGATAGATAGATAGATAGATAGATAGATAGAATACATAGATGGATGGATGGATAGATGGATAGATAGATCAACAGGGATGGATGGATGGATAGATAAATAGATAGGATTCATGAATGGATAGATATATAAATAGATCAGGGGTCCTCAAACTAGGGCCCGAGGGCCAGATATGGCCCTCCAAGGTCATTTACCCTGCTCTTGTTCAGGGTCAACCTAAGTCTGAAACAACTTGAAAGCACACAACAACAACAATCCTATCTCATCAGCCAAAAGCAGGCCCACACTTCCCACTATAATTTATATTTGTTAAAATTGTTCTTCATTTTAATTATTGTATTGTTTTAAAGTGTTTTTTGCACTACAAATAAGATATGTGCAGTGTGCATAGGAATTCATTCATGCCTTTTTCAAATTATAATCCAGCCCTCCAACAGTTTGAGGGACTGTGACCTGGCCCTCTGTTTAAAAAGTTTGAGGACCCCTGCTATAGAGACTGAGTGTGAGAGAGATGCACTGGGTAGATGGATAGATGATGAATGGATAGGATGGATAGATGGTGGATGGATGCATAGATAGATAGATGATGAATGGATAGAATAGATAGATAGATGATGGATGGATAGAATAGATAGATAGATGATGGATTCATAGAATACATAGACAGATAGGATGGATGGATGAGTGGATAGATAGATACTAGGCCTGGGTAACAACGGAAAAATTTGTTTCTAAAATCGATTCGTTTTTTGGGGTTTTTTGCGTTTCGATATTTAAAAGAATTCCGAAATTTTCCTTTAAAAAAGTTCGATATTTACGAAATTTCGTAAATGGTAAAAAAATTACAAAACAATAACGAAACAATAACGAATCGATTCGTTAATGGCGGCCGCGATCGCGCAATACGCTAAAAAACTTCTGAAGCTTCCCTCTCCCTCTGTTGTTGACTGTTGGTGTGATATTATAATTTTTTTTCACTAATTAAACAAAAAACAACTATAAAACTTGCCCCAGACATGCGGAAATAATAACGAAACGACCTCAAACCAATAACGAAACGAATACATAATGAAATACGAAGCATTTACGAAACGAATTGAAAAATTCGTTTCGTTTTTAAGTTGCTCCAGAATGGTTCGTTATCGCTTCGTTAACAAAAAAAGTAACGAATTTTTAACGAATTAACGAAACGAAACCGCCCAGCCCTAATAGATACATATAGATAGGGACATCAGCCCAAGATCCACCTACACTGCCATATATACACATATATACAAACACATATACATACATATATGCATATATATACACTGCCACTTTGAAACTGCATCAATATAAGTCAGTGTAGAAGGCATGGGCAAACTTTGGTCTTCCAGGTGTTTTGTACTCCCAACTCCCACAATTCCTAACAGCTTACCAGCTGTTAGGAATTGTGGGAGTTGGAGTTCAAAACACCTCGAGGGCCAAAGTTTGCCAATGCTTGGCATAGACTCCTGTTCAGCTGTGTTATATGAATCGACTCTGACCACAGGATGCATTACGTGGCAGCGTAGATGATGGGACCCTAGTCCATTTTAAACCATGAGGTTTGGACTTTACATTTCTTACCTGTCTTCAATTCTTTTTGTCATTCTCCCATAGATATATAGATTGATACATAGGTACGTAGATAGATACATAGATGGATAGATGGATACATAGATGCATAGATAGGTAGATAATATACCAGACTATATAATAAATGTTCTCCTTTTTTGTTCAACAATAAATGTGAATTCTTCTTCATGGAAAAATAAGACATCCCCTGAAAATAAGACCTGGTGCATCTTTGGGAGCAGAAATTAATATAAGACGCTTGGGGGGGGGGGGACGGGGGACGGGACACAGGATAGATACATGAATAGTTACATACATACATAGATACTTAGATAGATAGATAGATAGATAGATAGATAGATAGATAGATAGAGACAGATACATAGATAGATACATAGATGCATAGATACATACATATATAACTAGCTAGATAGGTAGATAGATAGGGATTTCACCATTCCAGGTTTCACCTTTGCTGCCATATATAATACACTTTGAAACTGCATCAATATAAATCAGTGTAGACGAATATAACACCATGTAACATGATTTTTGTACCTGGGCTATAAATATCATTTCCTAATTTGTGCTACCACAAAAAAAACAAAACCAAAAAAAAAAAACCCGACAAAACTTTATTTTTGCAGGACACCTTGCAGCACATTTTGCTGTAGTTTTTTCAGTTATTATCTCAACCAATTCAATATAATTTGTGGCATCCACAAAAACAAAGTTTTTGGAGTATAACAACTTTTAAAGTAATGACCACACAATGAAAAAGGGAATAACACTTTCAAACAAGGAACAGAATTTCTTTTTCAATTTTATTACATAGTGTAATGCAGGTTAACTGCATTATATGAATCTACTCTGACCATAGAATACATTCCATGACAGCGTCGGTGGGGGCCCAGTCAATTTTAAGCAACGGAGTTTAACTTTATATTTTCTTACCCGCCTTTCTTCTATTCTGAGACTCCATCAATTGGAAGACTAATTTCAGCACCAACTTTCAGGGGGAGGCGGCTTTATTTACATATAAATATTTATATGTAATATTTACCTTTGATTCTAAGATGCACTTTCCCTCTTCCATACAAATAAATCTAAAAACAGGGTGCATTTTAGAATGGCAGATGCATAGAATTAAAGGCCCAGTCTTAGTACCTCTGTGAATTACATGGCAGATAGTTATCTATCAATTGAAGGAAATTCTAGCATATGGTTGTGTTGTGGGAATTGAACAGAGACGTTATTTGAGACGCCAGTGAAACAGACTCAAAGTAGTTCATAGTCTTGTAAATTCCATTAGTTTATTCCAGTACATAGGTCAAAATATTAGCAAGGAAAGGGGAGAAATATACAGGCTGTCCCCAAGTTATGAACAAGATAGGTTCTGTAGGTTTCTTTTTAAATTGAATTTGTATGTAAGTTGGAATCGGTACATTTTAAGTGTAACTCCAGCCAAAGCATAGGGACAGAATAGGGAAGGGCTAACACCTCTGTGGTGTTTTTTTTTTATGTCTGGGCTCCTGTTCAGAAGATTTTCCCTCACTTTCTGTCCCTGTGTTAATTGGATTTTGAAAAAAAAAATGGCTTGTTGTGGAAACAAGGATTGGAGATAAAGTTTTGGTGGAGATACCTTTTCCCCATGATAACTCTTCCAGAAGTGGATTTCCCTTCTGAGGCATAGATTTCTCTCATTTACTGTTGTCTCACTGCCATTCTTAACTCGGAGTCATTTGTAACTTAGATGTTTGTAACTTGGGGACTGCCTCTACTCAAATTCTCTCTACCAAAATGGTTCCAAAACTTTTTCGGTCGTGGTTGCAAGCAGGGTGCGTGGGTGGGATGGTGAGTCAGGAGTGGGCAGGCAATGGAACGCATGCCATAGGTTTGCCACCACTGATCTATTACCTGGGTGTTTTGTATAATGTAGTTTTCTTAATAAAGAGATTCAAATTTTGTTTTTAAAGCAGAAATACATTGAATTTCAATAAAATCTTCATACCATGACACAGTTATTTTCACAGAACTCCCATGATGCTTTCATGGAACCCTAGGGTTCTGCAGAACACAGTTTAGGAGGTGCTATTCTAGGTCATGCCATGTACCTATGGATGCTTTTAGACATTTATCATTTATGGAATTTTATACGTGACTCAAATCAGAGATGTCATCTTTTAATTGTAACCCTACTGTTTTCCCATCATTTCTCCCATTTTTTCCTCTATGCTACAAAGGGTACAATATAATTGCTGCATGACTTGTCTTCATTGGTGATGCTAAAAGACATCTGTGTAGTCTTCGATTATACAAAAGATCTCTGGAAATTTCACTACTACTATATGGTCCTTAAATCTTGCTGGCCCCACAACCCGGAGGTGACAACACAGGATCCTCGACTTGAAAATGGAGAGCCAAAGATAAGCACCACCTCCAGAAGCCAGAAAATGAAAGGAGAAGCCTCTGCCTTTGTTTGTGTTTGTGTGTTTCATTGTATATCAGTGTAAAGGTGTTGAATGTTTGCCCGTGTATGTAAAAGCTGTAATCTGCTCTGAATAAAGTGCATTATTATTATTATTTTACTGACACAAAAACACAGTATGTTACAGCAAACGAGATATATATACTGGATTTTGTATCACAAAATCACAAGTCGAACACTTCCCAAGTGTCTAGGACTGTGTTATTATTATTATTATTATTATTATTATTATTATTATTATTATTATAAAGTTGGACTTTCCACAATTAGGGAAAAGAAGGAAGCAGCTTAGAAACAGCCCCAGGAGGGCATGATTGAATGATCATATCATGCGAATGCTACATAAAAGTCAGTAAAGGAAGCATAGCGATTCCATAGTGAATATCTGGCATGGAAGCTGCTGTGGAAGTGAAGTCAGCTATCCCAGGAATGTTGTGTGAAAGTCTCCAGAGGCCCATCGAAATGTGCTTACAGCTGTGTCCGAAAAGTCAAGCCACTTCCTTCAAGTTCCCGAGCACAGATGTCATCCAGCCGTTCACTTTGAGCCACAGTGAAATATTCCTTCCAGTCTCCTACAGTGCCTTCAGGTGGCAAAACAATCCAGAAATGAATTCTCAGCAATCATATTACAGTATTCTCTTTTTCTTGCTACTGTTAACCCATTAGATTTCAATTGTTTCGTTCTTTGGGAACATTTTCCCATATCAATATAATGCATGAAGAAATCCTGTATATCTGCCAGAGAACTCCAATAACTTTCCAGACAATTTTAGGGAATAATCAATCATTTGTAGAATGGGTTTGAACCTCAAGTGAATGCATTGCCCTTTCACTCCTGTATGATTGCTAAAAGGAAAACTGAAGTGTTGAGACTCAGCATTCTGGCACCATACCTACTACTAGTAGTAGGAGAAGAAGAAGCAGTGATGCAGAAGCAGAGGAGAATCAGCGCCAGAATCAGCGTTCTGTGGGTCGCGACATGAAGATTTTTTACTTCTGATTCCTGTTAGTCAGAGTTTCAGGATAGATCCCTGCCATTACCCTTCAATAATGATCATTAATAATGATTAATAATGCCCCCGGTGGCATAGCGAGTTAAACTGCTGAATTGCTGAACTTGCTGACTGAAGGGTTGGCAGTTTGAATCCAGGGAGCGGTGTGAGCACCCGCTGGTAGCCCCAGCTTCTGCCAATCTAGCAGTTCAAAAACATGCAAATGTGAGTAGATAAATAGGTACCGCTTTGGCTTGAAGGTAACAACACTCCATACAGTCATGCTGGCCACATGACCTTAGAGGTGTCTACGGGCAATGGCAGCTCTACAGCTTAGAAATGGAGATAAGTGCCAACCCCCCGAGTTGGATGTGATTAGGTTCAATGTTGGGGGGGGACCTTTACCCTTACATTTTAATGATTACTAGCCGTCCCCTGCCATGAGTTGCTATGACTCAGTCTGTGTATTCATGTTTTGTGTGTATATATGTTTGTGTATATGTGTATATATGTGTGCTTGAATGTATATATGCAGTTTTGTGCATGCATTGTAATGTATTTTTTTTGTTTTTTGGCTTTTTAAGTCTCTTCTGTTGTGTTTTCAGTGTTTTTATGAGTGATGGTAACTCATTGGGTTGTTAGGCGTATTCTGTCCAAATCTGGTGTCAATTTGTCCAGTGGATTTTGAGTTATGTTAATCCCACAAATGAACATTACATTTTTATTTATAAAGATTTAAAGTTAGCTTGACAGGCCATGGGTTGAAGTTGACTTCTTCCAGCAACTATCGTTATTTTAACTACCCAACAAATCTGAGGGTGAGGGATAAGTTCATTCTCATAATGAATTACATTTGAACAAGGATAAACACTATTTCTTACTTCAGATCTCATAAACCAACACATCTTAAACTTTTCCACTCAGGACCCTCTGTTGCTCGAGAAATTTTTATGAGATCCCAAGTATATAGGTGTATGCAATTGTATAAAAAATCAAACATTAACGGATAACAAATCAGCATTTTCAAGGCTTTCTCAACAAGCTGACAGTTGAAGCATCTTCTGCAGAGTCCACTGCAAAAGTCCAGTGCAGCACATTCATGTAAATCCCAAAAATAGCCACTAGGTGACGTTCAGAAAACATTTACTGCTGCCGTTTTTGGAGGATCCCAATATTGAGCTATGGAACCTCACTTTGGGTTGGAACCCACAGTTTAAAAAGCAGTTCAGTAGAGTCTCGCTTATCTAACATAAATGGCAGAACTTTGGATAAGCAAAAATGTTGGATAATAAGGAGGGATTAAGGAAAAGCCTATTCAATTTCAAATTATGTTATGATTTTACAAATTAAGCACCAAAACATCATGTTTTACAACAAATAGACAGGAAAAGCAGCTCACTATATGGTAATTTTATGTAATGACTGTATTTACAAATTTAGCACCAAAACTTCGCAATATATTGAAACAGCTGTGGTTCTGGCCAGGAGGCAGACTACGTTGGATAATACAGAATATTGGATGAGTGAAGGTTAGATAAGTGAAACTCTACAGTACCTTAAATGTACAGTGAGATCAACAGTGGCCTACTTTATGGGATTTTTTTTTTCATGTCAGGAGCAACTTGAGAAACTGCAAGTCGCTCATGGTGTAGAGAATTGGCCGTCTGCAAGGATGTTGCCCATGGGACGCCTGATGTTTTGATGTTTTACCATCCTTGTGGGAGGCTTCTCTCATGTCACCGCATGGGGAGCTGGAGCTGACAGAGGGAGCTCATCCGTGCTATCCCCGGATTCAAACCTGCCACCTGTCGGTCTTCAGTTCTGCCGGCACAAGAGTTTAACCCACTGCGCAACTGGGGCTCCACTTTATGGGATGAATGGCAAACATTTATTGAAATTATTAACCCAAATCAAGTTTCTTTGTTTACTGCATTGTAGTCCAAGTTAGTGGTGGTGTTCTGTTCCCAGCTGTCCCTCTGCTTTTGCCATCTAGGATGGGATTATCACCCAGAGCCTAAGAAGATTACTTACTTGGACAATAACTGGCAGAATCCTAGAATGCTGGCCTGGGGATTCAGAGACTTTTTACCCAAAAACTATTTCCAAGCTCTGGCCTTACCTATTCCAGAGATGGGCAACTATGGAAGACCATAGGGACACATGATCTCACCAGGAAACTTTAAATATCTATATCACATCATACTTGCCACTTATCTCCACAAACCCAGACATCATTTCAGGGTGGTTAGAGCAAAATAAATGGGAAATAAATCCTTTTGACATTGGGGGCATAGAGCTTGGAGCAGAAAAACAGCCCTTTGGGGTTTCAATCAACTGTAGGTCACACTTTGCCTGTCCCATACCTATCCCTTCTGGTAACTCTGTTTAATCTGAAACTGTAATCTGGGCATTCTCACCTTTTCTCATGAAGGGGGAGACAGTCTGGTCCATAATTTGAGAAGGTATAGTGGTATAATTAGCATGTGGATTTGCTTTCATGTTTTCAAAGACCGTGTGCTGCACAATCTGATTTACCACCTGTTCCGAGAGCTCCAGATCTAGGAAATGGGCAATTTTGCAGATTTCTTGGGTTGGATTCTAGAGGGAGTAAAAGAGACAGACAGACAAAGAGACATGCCACACAGATTGTTGAGCAGGGCTGGGTCTGTTGCCTGAGAAGCTGTCCCTGAAATACCTCTTCATCCTTTGCCAGATTATTACACTAGGAAAAAAACCCACTTAAAATCCTGTTTCTGCCTCCTTCAGAATTCTGGGGTTTGTAGTTTAGTGAGGCTGTTAAAGGCTCCTCCCTAAACTACAAACCCCAGAATTCTGCAGGAGGCAGAAACTGGATATTATGTGGATTTTTCTCTCTGGTGTGATGAGACTAGATACTGCTTGAGAAACCAACATGAGAACCATTACTTGGGATATAGAATCATAGAATTGGAAGAGACCTCATGGGCCATCCAGTTCAACCCCCCTGCCAAGAAGCAGGAAAATTGCATTTTAAAGCACCCCCGACAGATGGCCATCCAGCCTCTGTTTAAAAGCTTCCAAAGAAGACGCTTCCACCTCACTTTGGGGCAGAGAGCTCCACCGCTGAACTGCACTCAGAGTCAGGAAGTTCTTCCTAATGTTCAGATGGAATCTCCTTTCTTGTAGTTTGAAGCCGTTGTTCTGCATCCTAGTCTCCAGGGTAGCAGAAAACAAGCTTGCTCCCTCCTCCTTATTACTTCCTCTCACGTATTTATACATGGCTATCATGTCTCCTCTCAGCCTTCTCTTCTGCAGGCCAATCATACCCAGCTCTTTAAGCCGTTCCTCATAGGACTTGTTCTCCAGACCCTTGATCATTTCAGTCGCCCTCCTCTGGACACATTCCAGCTTGTCAATATCTCTCTTCAATTATGATGCCCAGAATTGGACACAATATTCCAGGTGTGGTCTAATCAAGGCAGAATAGAGGGGTAGCATGATTTCCCTGGAGCTAGACACTATACTCCTATTGATGTAGGCCAAAATCCCATTGGCTTTTTTTGCCGTTGCATCACATTGTTGGCTCATGTTTAACTTGTTGTCCACAAGGACTCCAAGATCTTTTTCATACATACTGCTCTCAAGCCACACGTCCCCCATTCTGTATCTTTGCATTTCATTTTTTCTGCCTAAGTGAAGTATCTTGCATTAAGGTGTGTTCTTATTAAGGTGTGTTCTTACGTAGGCGACTGTTTAATTATGGAGTTATATTTGTGTGTTGGTTGCTCACCTCTTTCATATCTTCATAAAAGAGATACAGAATTGGGTGATGATTCTTAGCCAGCCACCAACCACGAACATGGTCAAACCAACTGCCCCAATTCACTGCAAAACAAAACTCAAGTTGTAAGAGTTGGAAGAGACTTTTTTCTAAATTGAAGGTAGAATAGCTAAAAAAGTATACAGATTCCATATTCTCTAATATTTCATAGACGAAAACAGAGATAGATATGACCAAGTAACATCACAGTTTGAGTCAAGTTATAAGAAATGAGTATACAGGTGAGGCAAGGCTGCAGCAGCCTGTTTTTATCTTACTATGCAAGAAAGGGAAGCCCCCAGTGGAGTAGCGGGTTAAACACTGAGCTGCTGAACTTGCTGACCAAAAGGTCGGCGGATCAAATCTGGGAAGTGGGGTGAGCTCCCACTGTTAACCCCAGTTTCTGCCAACCTAGCAGTTTGAAAACATGCAAATGTGAGTAAATCAGTAGCTATCACTTCTACGGGAAGTGCTCCATACAGTCATGCCAGCCACATGACCTTGGAGGTGTCTACGGACAACGCCAGTTCTTCGGCTTAGAAATTGAGATGAGCACCACCACCCCAGAGTCAGTTATGCCTCGACTTTATTCTCCTTGCCCATTGTTTTAAATTAGCTGAGTCCAAACAACTTTAGCCCTCTAAATTAATTTGGCAGCAACAGAACTAAAGTGAGGTCAAAGGAGGAAAATCGGAGAAGGAGAGGAAAATCAGAACATTTCAATGTAGCTGGAGAAGTGGGATGACAGAGGATGAATAGGGACAACCCCTGCCAAATCAGGACAGTTGGAGGGTATGACATTAATAATGTCATACCAGTATGTAGTTAGTTTAAATAACTTTATTGGACTAAATATGTGTATCTTACTCTTTCCCCCCTGAACTATAAAGTTGTTTTGAACATTTTCTCTGTTCTTCTGCAGTTTCCACTTACAGTTTCCAGCAATGAAATCTTCCAGGAACTGATCCCAGGTTCCAGGTTCTGGGAAAAATTGATGCATGAGGTGAAAATGAAAATAGGAGACCGCACAATCCTTGATGTTTCTGGCCACATAAATGATCTGTTAAAAAATAGGTAAATTGAGAAAGATATAGAAATCCCAGTTCTAGCTCAGAGCATGAAAAAGTTACTTTTTAAAATGCACTTCCTAGAATCCCACAATAATGCAGGTTATGGGATTTAGGAAGTTGCTGTCCAAAAAAATAGTAATATTTTCATGTTACATTCTCATAATCTTTAACTTGTTCTTTGTTCTTCTAAGAAAAAAATGTACTGAGGTTGAAACAAGGTCAACAAACTGCTAATTGTTTATTTTTAGTGTATTATTATTATTATTGGATACACAAAAGATTAATACACGGCAAACAAGATTACTATGCTGGCTTTTGTATTCAATTGTACATCGGGCACTTCCCAAGTGTCTAGGGCTGTTTGATGTATCAGTGAATAGTGTGTGCAGATCTGAGTAGGGTGGCCTTTTGCAGCTGACAGATGGTAATTTTGTCAGTGCTGATTGTTTTTAAGTGCAGAATGAGGTCTTTAGGGACTGTATCCAGTGTGCCAATCACCACTGGGACCACCTTTACTGGCTTGTGCCAGAGTCTTTGCAGTTTGATCTTTACATCTCCATATTGTGTAAGCTTTTCCAGTTGCTTCTCCTCAATTTTGCTGTCACCTGGGATTGCAACATATTTTGGTTTTTTTCCCATGATCGTGAGGTCAGGAGTACTGTGCTCCAAAACTCTGCCAGTCAGGATTCGGAAGTCCCAGAGTAATTTGATGTATTCATTTTGTGTATCTTTTTCAGGCTTATGGTGCCCCAGTTCTTTGTCATTTAACATTATTATTATTATTATTATTATTATTATTATTAATAATAATAATAATAGCATTATTACTAGTAGTGTATTTTTTATTATTTACTATTATTAGCACAGAAGGTGAAACCACTAGTTGTAGTCAATCTTGTTAGTTGAAAGGCTGTCAGTTCGAAGCCCCGGTCAGGGTGAGCTCCTGACCTTTAACCCAGCTTCCTCCTACCTAGTGTTTCAAAAGCAAATGTTAGTAAATAAATAGGTACTGCTTAAAAGCAGGGAAGTATGCTGAAGCACCCATAAGGATTGCCATCGATTTAATCAATTGTTGCTGGGGTAATTCAAGATCCTGTTTTCTGTTCTTATTGGTTTTGATTTTAAAACCAAGACTGGACTGCACAGCTCTTCCAAAAAAAAAAAGTCCACCTTTGAGCAGAAAGGTTTTTAGAGAATGGGATTGATGCAAACCCATAGCACCAAATGTAGACATTAGATCATCTGATCCAGGAGATGGACCAAGAATCTCAGTTCCTCTGTCTTCTGTTTTCTGCAGAAATGTCACTTTTAACTCTTTAACAAGGATCATTTTTTTCTTTGTATATGGTTTTTTGGGGATGCAGGAGTTGTCTGGATAGATATATGGCTAGCTCTTAAGTGCCTCTTAATACTGAAAACATCCCTGCACTTATAACTATCTCTATATATATTGGTTTCATGCAACCATGAATACCTTAGTCAGATATGTGTTGGCAAACAAATTAAGTTATGCCCTCTCTGTGTTGATTGTCCCACCTCTCACTGTACTCACTTTGCAGTTTTGTTGCCAGAACGAAGGCGGCAGGAGCTGGACAGGGAGATGGGTTTTGAGCAAACGTGGAGAAGGCATTGTTTTCGCTATTTCAAAGCCTGAAACACGAGAAGACACTCAGCTTCATGCTAAGATGGTTGGTGTTTTTATTGCTATGTCCTTCCAAGTCAAGTCTCGACATAAAACAACATTTTCATATGGTTTTCTTGGTAAGATCGATTCAGAAGAGATTTGTTTTTGTCTTCATGTGAGGCAGCATTTCTCAACCTGGAGGTCAGGACCCCGGGGGGGGGGGGGGGGGGGGTGTCATGAGAGGGGTGTCATAGGGGTTTCCAAAGACCATCAGAAACGGTATTTTCTGTTGGTCACAGGGGTTCTGTGTGGAAAATTTGGCCCAATTCTATCATTAGTGGGGTACAGAATGGTTTTTGATTGTAGTTGAACTATAAATCCCAATAACTACAACTCCCAAATGTCAAGGGCTCTTTTCCCGAAACGCCACCAGTGTTCACATTTGGGAATATTGAGTATTTGTGCCAAGTTTTTTCCAGATCTATCATTGTTTAAGTCCACAGCGCTCTCTAGATGTATGTGAACTACAATTCCAAAACTTAAGGTCAATGCACATCAAACCTTTCCAGTATTTCCTGTTGGTCATGTGGGTTCAATTCCATTGTTGGTGGAGTTCAGAATGCTCTTTGATTGTAGGTGGGCTATTAATCCGAGCAACTATAACTCCCAAATGACAAAATCAATCCTCCCTCAACCCCACCAGTATTCAAATTTGGGCGTATCGGGTATCTGTGCCAAATTTGGTTCAGTGAATGAAAATACATCCTGCATATCAGATATTTACATTACAATTCATAACAGTAGCAAAATTATAGTTATGAAGTAACAACAAAAATAATTTTATGGTTGGGGGTCACCACAACACAAGGACCTGTATTAAGGAGTTGCAGCATTAGGAAGGTTTAGAACCACTGCTCTTAGACAAGGTGTGCAAAGTACAGATTCTAGGCTGCAAGCTGCCGCACACAGACTTGTTTTTGTAGATCTCAAAGCCTCATAGATGTTCAAAAATCAATTTAGCCCCATATGTCTTCTATGGATTTGTGGAAGGTCATTTTCATCTTTTAGGACTAGGAAAATTCTTTATTTAAAAAAGAGGGCACGAGTAGGAAGTTGGAACTGACTTTGGTACCACTTTCTGTTGTAAAAATAAGCCAAAGAGGTCCCAAATATGATAAAACACTCCCACGACCCAAAATAATTTATTTATTATAGGGAGATGGGTGTTTGCAGCCCTGCAAGGTCTCCTGTATGGGCTAATATGGCCCCTATCCTCCAATGACTGCCCACTCTTGTGCTATGGCCGAGAGAGTTTCACTTGCCCAAGGTCACCTAGTGAGTTTCCAGGGCTGAAAGGGAATTTGAACCCAGAATCCTTGGCAAGCATTCAAAATACTACATCTCAATGGCAGTAATGTAAAATGTCTCTCACCATAATATTTCTGAAGTGGTGTTTCATCCCCACTTGAGGATGAACTGGGTATGGGAGGGCAGTATTCTACGAAGGGCATCCGTTTGTAGATGGGGGCCCGTGCACATTTTTCTGGGTCTCCTCCTTGCTTGATCATGTCCACAATTTCTTGCGTCCAAGTGGTCCCTGACAGAGAGAGGAGAGTAGGAAAGTGATTCTATAATTCACCAAGAGAACCCCATCCCAATACTGTCTTGTCATTGCACAACCTTGTTCCTTTACCTGCTTTGGGATAAGTGCAAATGATAAGGTCATCTGGCCGGGCTTTAAAGTGCCATATGGAATCCCAGTTTGCTGCAATTCCAGTGAACAAAGGGACACCTTCAACTTCCACAGGCTTCTGCCTCGTGCATCTGAGAGCCAAACTTTCCAGTTCGGATTCGAGACTCATTTCCTAACAGGACACGAAAGGTGACGATGTGAGCACTCTTCAAGCCAACCATTTTACTGTTTTCACTTGTGCCCTCCCCTCTTGTGATTTTCACTCCCCTTTCAGACTATTAAACATTGATTGTTTTTCTTCTTGAATTTCATGCTTGACCCAGGAAATAGATTAGGTACACATGTTTTTGATCCTGCAAGAGATGTGCGCAGTAAGGGGAGAGGATTTTCTGTTTTACTAGGGCTACTGTTGAATTTTCTTTGGAAAGGGAAGTTACTATTTGGATAGCATATCCCAGAACACATTATGATACCTTGAGCATATTCCATATATTTATTAATTTTTTAAATTCTTGGGAGTGGTAATTAAAACATTGTGATGTTTTGGCTAGTGTTTAGTTTGTGGTGTTTGGCTCATTGGACAGCAGTAGCACAGTAGCCTACTACTCGAGAACCTCCCACATATTTATAGTAGCAAAGGCAGAGCCACTCCATAGCATCCAGTGAAACAAGCCACTTGGCAAGGAGCGAATACATGTAGATTTTGCTCTCACGCATTGAGCTGCGGTCATATGGTGGAGCAATGAGTTAAACCCTAGTGCCGACAAGACTGAAGACTGACAGGTTGGAGGTTCAAATCAGGGGGGAGCACGGATGAGCTCCCTCTGTCAGCTCTGTCTCTCCATGCAGGGACATGAGAGAAGCCTCACACAAGGATGGTAAAACATCAAAACATCTGGGCATTCCCTGGGCAACATCCTTGCAGACAGCCAATTCTCTCACACCAGAAGCTACTTGTTTCTCAAGTTGCTCCTGACACACACACACACACACAAATATGGTGGATTCCCCTTAGTGATAAATTACATCAGTGCAATATAAGGGCATGATTCTCTAGGAAAAGGAATTTGCATTACCTTTCCACCACAAATTCAGGATCTACTAAGAGGCTCACATTCAGCTACCAGGATTCAAGTGACCTATACCTCCACAAGAACCTAAGTAAATCTGCTAGGGCTAGGAATGGAAAGAATTTTCAAAATTATTTTTAGAAGCATCGAGAAACCCTAACATGATGAAATTGGACTGATGAGAATCTTTCCAGTTCTGAAATTGCTTTGTGCAACATTGGGGTACTGTTGTTTTGCATAGAAAACAGCATTGTGCAAAACAACCACCTGCTAATTTTGCACAGAAAATTGTCATGGAAATCTGCCATTTAAAAAAATGTTCTCACAACGAGAAGTACATGGCTAAATGACCAATAATTTCCTTATAAAAACAGAATGATATCCCAAGCTGGGCAATGTGGTGCATGGCATAGTGAAATCCCATGCAGGTCAAAAGAAGTTAGTGTATCTTATAGGTAAAGAAGAGGTGGAAATGTGCCAAAGGAGCAGTATGTCTTCTACCTATCATCCTTCCCTCCACAACACCTCATTCTCTATCAGATCTTTTTTTTAAGCTCTGTGCTCCCTTCCAACATTCCCATACAATTCAAAGAGGAAAGAAAATCAATAGATGGGTAAATGCTGTTTGCCCTCTTCCCCAACCTTTTCTATACTTACTATTTATCGCAGACCACCAGTGGTACTATCTTGTTGTTGGATGGAAAGACCAGATTGAACCTGAAGAATCAAAGGCCAAAGTCTAAGGTTGGGCGGGTATCTGCTCCAGCTTCTAATAGGTTCTCCTAAAACCATGCAAGAACCTGGCTGCACATTACATTCATCTCCTTAGAAGGAGCCAAGTGGGCATGCCCACTGAACCTGAAGATGGGCAGAGATTGCTGCAAGAGGATTGCAACAGTGACCTTTCTCCATTCTCATATTTGCTATTCTTGTCTTCACACCACATTGCCTCTGATGGTCCACCACCATTTCCAAGCAATAGTTGCGGTATTGCCAGTATATCTACAAGCCAAAGTCATTATGCTTGACGTGGTATCAAACTGCATGAATTATACAGTGTAGATCAGAGCTTTTCAAATTGTGTTGCTGCATGTTAGTGTGTTGGCTTCAGTATGTAGGTGTGTAACAACATAACAAGAAATGACACGAAAATGTGGAAACATATGTTCTCTTACAAATAATATCTTTTAAAAAATATAAATGAGATATGTTGTGTTCCCATACATTGCATTATTGACATTTATGTATGTGTTAATATCTCTAAAAAGAGATAGTTTAACTTCTGGATGCCAGTAAAACTAAATTACTGTGTTATGGAATGATGCATATCTACAAAGTGAGTCACCAATATGAAATGTTTGGAAGACTCTGGTGTAGATGCACTCTGAGTTGAATCATTCTTCTCCAGCTTAGGGATTATGTCCTCCATCATATGCGTGGGAGATGTTGTTTTACAAACTTTTTAGCCTACTCTACCAAAGGGATCCCCTGGTGGCGCAGTGGGTTAAACTGTTGAGCTGCTGAACTTGCTGAATGAAAGGTCGCCGGTTCAGATTTGGGGAGCAGGGTGAGCTCCTGCTGTTAGCCAACCTAGCAGTTCAAAAACATGCAAATGCGAGTAGATCAATAGGTATCGCCTCGGCAGGAAGGTAGTGGCGCTCCATGGAGTCATGCCGACCACATGATCTTGGAGGTGTCTATGGACAATGGCTTAGAAATGGAGATGAGCATCAATCCCTAGAGTTGGACACAACTGGACTTAATGTCAAGCGAAAACCTTTAGCTTTACTTACCAAAGAGTGCTGGCACCTCACCAAGCAACAAACCCCAGGATTCCACAGTTAAAGTGGTGTAAAATTGCATTAATTCTACATTGTAGCAGGATCCTTATTCTTTTGGAAGACATTTTCTGAATTGCACAGCTACAACCACATACATATATGGGCATATGTCTGGAAAACAACTTCTTTTCTTCTCAATGAAAGTTCCAACAGCTTATTTAGTTGAAGATGGGTTGCAAATCGGCCAGTCATAAGGGAAAATACACCCAGGCCACATTTCCATCATTTTTCTGTCCATTGAATAACAAAATTGTGTGACACTTCTTCAGGTCAATAGCCTTAGCTAAAAAATACTAGAAGGGCCAGATCTCCAACTGAATTCCAAGTTCAGGAAAAAAATTTGATTGTCAAGAAAGAGCAGCAAAGACTTATTTAATTCAATTTTATTTACATAGTCAGGTAGGGTTGGAGGTGGCAGGATGAAGGAGAGGTATATTTTGCCTCTAGTCCAAAGTTATGTTTGATGACTTATGGCAGTATACATTTTTGAACTTGGATTGAGGGTAGGAGTGATTCTTGCTGATCTATCTTAAGCATCATGGTCCAGCACTCTCCCTTTTGTTCAGACAAATACAATAGAGGAGTAGAGGCAGTCCTAATATCAAGCTCTGAGAGCCCTTCTACACTTGGCTAAAAACTCAGAAATAACTGGGTTAAAAGGGGGTGAGGTGACTAAACAATGCTTAGTGCAGGTGGAATAAGGTGAAAAGCACATTTTTAAAAGGTGCACTTAAACCCGACTCTGTCCGAAAAATGTGCACCTTTGCATGACTGTATATCCCAAAAGACATGCAAAACACATGCTTTCCTTCCCTTCACCCTCCAGTGCACATGCACTCTTTAAAAGCCTGAAACAACTGATCAGGTGATCAGGCTGTCAAAACATTGAGCCATGGGCACAGAGGTGGCTCAAGGGAAGCACAATTGGAAAGCAATTAGAACTCTATGAAACTCTCTTTTAAACACAGAGCTTGAATTTACTATTGGACAAAGAGAGAAATAAGAAATCTGCTCATGTTTACATTAAGATTTGTGCATGTGTGTATATGAGGTCCAGTGCATTTTAGAGTGATTGAAAAAAAAACTTCCGCTGGATGTCCCCCTTCCACCCTCCATTTTGATTCACTTCAAGGGAAGATGTAAGGATGGTGGGAGACCATTTCCTGGGACTGGCAGGTCTGTGTGTGGACCTGCTGTCCATTCCTGGGATTTTTTTGCCCCAGATTTAAAACTCACATTTTGGAGCTGTCTGGAAGCACCCTGGGTTTTCTTTCTGAAAAGCCTTTATGGCAAAATATTATCTAGTAGTTTAAGAAAGCCATGCCTGCAAGTATGCTATAGGGCTGAACACAGACATCAATGAAACAGACTAGCAAACATCATGTTCACTTGTTTATTCAAGCACACAGCACACAATTTTAGCATCCTTCCAATCCATGCATTGCCTCTCTTTTATAGAAAGAATTACACAGTTCCATGAGTTCAAATTCTCACAAGAATAGGGTTCCACAATGAATTACTTCTGCAAGTTCATAAATATTGCCCCTTTAAGCTTTTAAATATCAATAAAAAGGAATTGCAATTAAAAGCCTTTCCTTGTTTTATGTGTTCTCATCTCCAAATCTGCTCAGCCTGGACTTTGTACCAGCTAGCTTGCGAACAGTACAAACGTGCTCGATCAACAAGAGAAATTCCTTCTGGAATTAGCAGTAAAATTTCGCAATTCTGAGCTTCTAAAAAAATTGGAATGGAACAAAAGAGGAAAGTTATGGCTTTGCAGCCAAAAGGCTTCTCAGTTTGCTTGCAGGAAGTTAAATGACTAGCACTATGGCCACAGGGAAGTGCAGCAGTTCAAAGTAATGCTCCCAACACGGCCACAATGACATATTAGTGTCCTCAAACTCACTGCAGCAGCGCTTTTAGATTATTGCACCACCTGAAAACACTTTGATCACCAATTCAAAGCTCTTTCAGCTACCTACAAATGGAAGTTCCCCGTTTTTTGAGTTGAGACTGGTCTGGAATGACGCCACAGTGACACCGTGTGGTGGTAAACCTTCAATTTGGGAGCTTCAAACCCATGGCACAAGCCAGATGCAATAATGTCCTTAGTCCAATACTCAAAGAACAACACAAAGCTGGCTCTCTGCTAAAATGCCAAAAGCCCCTGAAAATAATAAAGCAAGTGATATTACGGCACCAAACATAAATGTTATAGTGTATGGGTGATGAATTGTCATGCATCCCTCTTTATTCAGTTCATCACTGCCTATGTCAAAAGACACACTCTTTTTTAAAAAAGTAAGAACAGTGTCAAGGATAGGCGCACATATGGAGATTGCAGTATTATTTAACTTTTCATTAAAAATTTAAAGGTGGACTTTCTTCAATCAGCAAAGAGAAGGAATTAGCTTATGTTGTAATTGAATGATGGTGTCATGTGAATTCCTCATAAAAAGTGAGTGAAACATAGGAATGCCACTGAACTTCAGTTGGGACTAGTAGACATGAAATCAACTACTGTGGGTATGTCTTGTGAAAGTCTTTGAGAGGCACAGCAAAATTTGCTTAGAGCTGTGCGCGAAATGTCACGTCACTGCCTTCAAATTTCCAAGCACAGGTGTCATCCAGCCATTCACTTTGGGCCACAGCAAAGTGTTCCAGTCTCCTACAGTGCCACCAAAAATCTTGTTTTATTTGTTTCTTGCTAATAAAACTCACCAGATTTTTAGAAAAATATTTTTTGAGAACACTGTCTGTATCAATTTATTTCTCAGTTTATTTATTTAAGTGAAGAGTGCTCAATTATTGCAGACCAATAGGAAATATGGAAAAATAAGGGCAAAGGAAAAATGCAGAATAAATGGAATTGGAAAATATCCATGTACACAAAATTCAGTTTTGCTGGTTCTTTCTTTTAGAGTTTCTTGATTACTTAAATGCAATAGAATTAGCAATCCAGGCTTATACAGGTGCTTGTTTTATGCACGTAACTATGCTACAGCTCTGTGCGGAAGCTCAGGCCACTGCCTTTTAACAACTGGGCACAGAGGTCATCCATCCGCTCACTTTGAGCCACAGTGAAGTGTTCCTTCCAGTTTCCCACAGTGCCTGCAAATAGAGAAGACAGTACAGAAAAAAGAAGAATCACTACCTTTCCCCTGTGTTCTTTTGCTTATATTCTATGTATTCTTTTATATTTGTGGATTTCTTTGCCATTTCTCTGAACATCTGCCCCACTCTTTATTTAATTGCATAGGATTTTGAGAAATGGTGCCACTGGACAGGGCAACTCTAAAGTTCATCACATGAGGCAAGCAAATTGCAACTACAGCAAGACAACTGTGTCATGGCTTGGACTTATTACCTGGAGTTGCTCTCTCCCTGCCATTCTCAGGATGGGAGACAGCCTGCAAAGTATTTATTTTATTAACGCAAATAATCCCTTTGCAAATGAAACACCTTTCAAAGGTATTCTATCAGGAGAACAAAAGAACTACTTGAAAGCCAACACAGCTGTGCTATAAAGCTTTGCAAACAACTGTAGGAAGAATGCAGGCATTGTTGATCCTCTATACCAGCATTTCGCAACCTGGGGGTCGGGACCACTGGGGGGGGGGTGTCTCAGAGAGGGTCGCCAAAGACCATCAGAAAACACAGTTTCTGTTGGTCATTGAGGTTCTGTGTGGGAAGTCTGGCTCAATTCTATTGTTGGTGGGGATCAGAATGCTCTTTGATTGTAGGTGAACTGTAAATCCCATAAACTACAAATGTCAAGGTCTTTTTTCCCCAAACTCCACCAGTGTTCATATTTGGGCACATTGAGTATTTGTGCTAAGTTTGGTCCAGACCCACAGTGATTTTTGGAGGTAGGTGAACTATGACTCCAAAACTCAAGGTCAATGCCCACCAAACCCTTCCAGTATTTTCTCTTGGTCATGGGAGTTCTTTGTGCCACGTTTGGTTCAATTCCATCGTTGGTGGAGTTCAGAATACTTTTTGATTGTAGGTTAACTATAAATCCCAGTAATTACAACTCCCTAATGACAAAATCTCCCCACCCCAACCCCACCAGTATTCAAATTTGGGCCTATTGGGTATTTGTGCCAAATTTGGTCCAGTGAATGAAAATACATCCTGCATATCAGATATTTACATTACAATTCATAACAGTAGCAAAATTACAGTTATGAAGTAGCAACAAAAATAATTTTATGGTTGGAGGTCACCACAACATGAGGAACTGTATTAAGGGGTTGCGGCATTAGAAAGGTTGAGAACCACTACTCTATACTGTCATGATAGTATAAGTTTGCTCTAATGTTTGATTTTACTCACCCTTGATACTTCTGGGACTGTCTTCCATTCTGGATTAGCCCAAGCAGCCAAATAGATATCATTGCTTTCTTTAGTCTAATTAGCATTGCCCTAACTATGATACTATTCACCATAGGGCCCCATTGTTATCCAATCTGAGTGCAATTCAACCTTTGGTCTCACCTTTTCTCATGAAGGGGGATATGCTATGATCTAGCAAGCTGGAAGGCAATGTGGTGTAATTAGTCATTGGATTTACTTTCATGCGCTCAAATTTTGTGTGCAGAACAATTTGATTCAGAACTGATTCTGGGAGCTGTATATCTAGGAACTCTGCAACTTTCCGGATTTCCCGACCTGGGTTCTAGAGAAAGAGAGAAACAAGAGATTTGATGCATGTAGGAAGGGAGAGAGTTTTGGTTGTTTATGGTTCTTAAACCAATTTTTGGACCCTGTGTTTCTTGCATCATGAGGCAGAGGAAAGAATCCTGGTTATGTATGACTTCCAGTATTTGTTTCTTGCTTCTTGGTGCTATTAAGAGTCCCTAGCGATATGTACAGTGTGAGGTTGCTTGGGCTAACTCTCTCAGAAAAGCCATTTGGTAAATGAAAGTACTACTGCATGTATATGCTTTGTATAACGATAGCACTTTGATACAAGTCTTATACTCAGGAAAACTCCACATCCAAGGATACCAGAGAAGTGGGCTATGGCAGTTAAGGTGCTACAGTTATGTAGTATGCATAGCTCTGCCCTTTAGGCCAAATTTTAGGAAATATCCAGGGTGGTAAACCCATTTGAGAGGTTTCAAAGACCATTGTTTACCTCTTTTACATCTTCATAAAAGAGATAGAGAACTGGATGTCGGTCTTTGGCTTCCCACCAGCCACGAACATGGTCAAACCATGAACCGCAGGAAACTATAAGACAAAATAACAGAAAAGGAATTTGGTTTTTAAGCCGTCTTCAACAAAGCTGTATAAAATTTATATTGAACCGGATTGTATGGCAGTGTGGGCTCAGGCTGCTTCTAGACTTCACTTAAATGAGCGCCGAAGCAGGTTTAAGAAACCTGTTTCAGTGCTTGTTTAAGGCCCCACACATCCCCCCAAACTCACACTTTCACAGGAGGGTGTCTAGACATTCAGAAGCCCTTCAAATTAAAACAACTTACCTGTCTACCATTAATGTACTTCTGGAGTCTTGGCATGTAGAAATGATACACCGGGGAGGGGGGGGGCGAGGAGTGATTTTCTTCCACACATCAGGATGTCTCCTGGCGTATCATTTCTACACATCAGGAGGACTCCAGCAGTATCTTAATGGCACCCAGGTAAGTTGTTTTAAATTTTAAGGGCTTATTTTGGGGTTTTGGAGAAGGAGGTGGGTGCCCTCTTGATTTTCCAGGCTCCTGGAGACCAGAAAACCAAGAGAGGGCTGTGTTGATTGGGCCCAGGGATCGCATGACGCAGTCCTTGGATTCAACCCACACTAAGCCCACACCTGGAAAGATCCAGATCTTATCAAAGATCCGAGTCTTACCTGGTATCAAAATAATTTGGGACAAAGCAGAGTTTTACCAGAGGTGTTTGAACTTCTCTGGTAAATGCGTGAGATCTGTCACATTTTGGGCCCTGTCTGGATCGGCCCTCAGATAACCCAGTTCAAAGCAGATATTGTAGATTATCTGCCTTGATCTTCTGGGTTGTATGGCTGTGTGGAAGGTCCCTAGGATAGACCTCAAGTCTACTTCTCCCTGCCCTGCTGAGTTACAACTTTTTTAAAGAGGGAAAGAAAACAATGAAAAACCTGAAAGTTTCGCAGCCAGTTAAATTAATATCTTACGCTTATTTTATACTTTCTCGCCTAAACATGGTTAGTACTTAACATGAAACGCTCTCTATCCCAAGGATACTGGCTTTCATATATATATTAGATGCCAGGTCTTTTTTCCCCCTACTTTCCATATTTGGTGTCTGTTCACCTTTCCCAGCCATGAAAGTCTCCAGAAACTCTTCCCAGTTTCCAGGCTCTGGCTTCGTCTTGTTCATCAGGTGGAAGTGGAAATAAGAGACAACATTGTCCTTAGGATTCCTAGCCACATAAATAATCTGCAGGAATAAAATTAAAAAGCTATAAATCTTTTATGCCCATACTTTGTTCTATAGGGGTAGCTCATTAAGATGGTGATGAGATAGGACATCTTATCTGTAAAAAAAAAAAGTACTGCAAATTATTCTGGCAGCAATGAAAAACATGTAAAATATTATCCAAGTGAGTTCAACATTATTGCAGTTTTCTTGAAACCAATGTCCTTCATCTCATTCTAAAAACCCCCCATCAATTGTAATCATTATTTCTATAGTTGCTTCCAAACTCTGTAATTTCTCCATTGCAGTAGGTTATTGCTACTACTGTCCATTGTAGTAGTTTATTGCTGTCTGAGGGTGTGTCTACACTTTCCACTAAAGCTGGGTCCAGTCACAGCATTTCTGTGTTGGTGTCTAAGCAGTCCAGCCAGTCCAAGATCACATCAGCCCCACTGGACCATCATTTTCTGTGTTGACACCATCACTCCCAACTGTCCAAGCTCCTCCATTGTAATAGTTTATTGCTGTCTGAGGGTGTGTCTACGCTTTCCACTAAAGCTGGGACCAGTCACAGCATTTCTGTGTTGGTGTCTAAGCAGTCCAGCCAGTCCAAGATCGCATAAGCCACTCTGGACCATCATCTTCTGTATTGACACCATCACTCCCAACTGGCCATGGAGCTCTATCCAAGCTCCAGACTAATGCAGGTGCCTCTTTTGGTTAACTAAAACATGCTAAACTGGACTTCGTTTTGGGATGCAAGAACCAATCCCTCCTACTTCTGTCTTCAATAGCAAACTTTCTGTTAAAGAAGTAATGTCCAGGAACACATAAACCTTGTTAACTTGGGGGCACTTGTACTTCTTCTAGCTTCACACACAAGACAAGCCTCAGGAAAGTTACTGAAACAGATCCCTGTAATGAACGTTTGTTGAGATAACGAAAGTCCTACCCTTCTCCTAAATTTAACTCAGTTGCTCTCACCTTGGACTTTTGTTCCCAGAAAGAAGGAGGCAAGAGCTGGACTGGGAGGTGAGATTTGAGGGTGCGTGGAGAAGCCATTGCATTGGCTTTCTCAACACCTGGAACAAAGGGTGACATCAGCATCAAGAGAATAAATGTTTTTATTATTATTATTACCTTTTCCTTTTTGGTATGTAAAGATGAAACAGTTCTTCCTATGTACCTGAGATTTTGAAATCAGGAAGGTATATCTCTATGAAGGGTATTCGTTCATAAATGGGGGCCCGAGCACACTTCTGCAGATCCCCTCCATGCTGGATCATGTCCACAATTTCCTGTATCCAGGTGGTTCCTATTGAGATGGGCAGAAAAGCAAAGGAGATGAATCACGAGTCTCCTTAATTTGGCTAAAGCTCACTCTATAATGAATTCATATCTAGTGTGATCAACACACCAGAACACCTCCATGCCATGAGTTCCTAGCGAAGGTTGAGAAATGTAAATATCTGGGACTCTGCACAGGAAGGAACCTGATAACACGAATGACTTACACTGGAAGACCTGGAGGCTGGACTGAGGAACTTTTGGAAGTTGAGAGGGTGGGGTTTTGGGGATTGAAACTTAGAAGTTGCCTGTGTTTTCTTCATTTGTAACTTTTCTGTATAATAGTCAAATAGTATTAAAGAAATTTCCAAGATTTCCTTGTGAGTGAATTTAATTGCTACTAAGGTTTTGCAATCATCACACAAACTTCTCAGCCTTCCACTGCTGTTTCCCTGAGACAATTTGATGCCTTCCCTCCCTCATACCTGCTTTGGGGTAAGTGCAGATGAGAAGGTCATCAGATTGAGCTTTGAAGTTCCAGATAGGACCCCAGCCATTGACCATTTCACTGTGAAAAGGGACTCCATTAAGATCTTCAAGTGTTGCGCGCTTGGTAGGTTTAGACTCCCCAACCATTTCTGAATCCATGACCTGCTGAGGAAGAAAATATCTAGTTAAATATGGTTCCCCGCCACTTGAAGACCCAGTACCCATTATTTATTCTCACTGGCACCAATTTCCCAGTGTTGGAATCCAAGATCATGCCTACTTACCAGCGTCACTTCTTGCTCCAATAGCCAGATTTCCTTCCTTCTCTGTGTTCCTCTCTGAAATTAGTTCATGACTCAGGAATCAACTCCGTGTGTGTCTGTGTGAGGTGTGCATGCGTCCTAATACAAATGCAGGGTGTGTGCTTTCCTCCTCAGCTGATATAGCTGGTCATTCTGGAATCCCTCCGCTTAGATTGCGCAGAGTCAGAACTTCCCCTGCAAACCTGAAAGTTACTTTCACCACCTCGAATGCTGCTATTAAACTTATCTGAAAGCTGAAATTTTTGAACAAGGAAGCCCAGCTTTTGCCCTGAAAAACCCTGTCTTTTTTTTATGTCCTCGGATTGCGTGATTTTAATAATGCATTTTAATGTTTATATTGCTTTTTATTTTTTTGTTTTAATGTTTATGTTTATTTTCTATTGTCTGTTTTCTGCGTGTCAGGAGTGACTTGAGAAACTGCAAGTCGCTTCTGGTGTGAGAGGATTAGCCGTCTGCAAGGAATTGCCCAGGGGACACCTGGATGTTTTTTTTAATGTTTTTACCATCCTTGTGGGAGGCTTTTCTCATGTCCCCGCATGGGGAGCTGGAGTTGACAAAGGGAGCTCATCCGCGGTCTCCCCGGATTCGGATGTCCGACCTGTCAGTCTTCAGTCCTGCTGGCACAAGGGTTTAACCCATTGTGCCAGTGTTGATATGCCATCGAATTGGGGTGAGAAGGGTGGGATATAAATACAATAAATAAATAAATAGGTACATCTTAAGGTCATCTGGGAGTTAATGCCAGGAGAAAGGCAGGTGTTGCCTTACCTGGCACATCTTAAGATCTCCTCAGAAGACATGTTTCTTCAAGTACAAGAATGCTTGGTAAATTAGAAGGAAGTAAGAAAAAACCCCAACCATATTACAGATGAATAGCGTCAGTCAAGGAAGCCAGAGCTCTTAGTTTGCAAACTTAAGCAAGATTGCTGATTTTCTTCTTGAAGGAAGCATTAAGTAATTGCCTTTTCTCTGCAAGGGTAACCTGGTGGTCTTTTGTCTCTAGGGTTACCATACATTGAAATTGACTCAGTATAGTCATTGAGTGCACATAGTCATCGAAAAAAAATACAATATCCCTAAAGCTTCCTTGCAGAGGAAAGGCAATTACTTAGTGCTTCCTTCAAGAGGCAAATTAGCACATTGAGATCCCATGCAAGTCTTTAAAAAGTGTATATGTATATGTATAAGACTATCAAAAGAGCATCCATTCAAGGAGCAACAAATCTTCCCTCTTCCTATCATCCTTCTCTACACAGCACCCTTGCCAAATACTCTTAGTATTGGGCTCCCTTCCAGTGGAACAGTGGAAGTGAAATATTGCTATATGGATAAATGCTGTTTAGAACACCCACCCATTTTTATATACTTACGTTTGATTGTTGATCACCAAATGTACTGCTCCATTGTTGGAAAGAGAGACCAGGCTGAACCTGAAGACTGAAACTCCAAAGTCAAATGCTGGGTGGGTACCTGCTCCAGCTCCTAATAGGTGCTTCTGGTTACATATTACAGTTATACCTTAACAGGAGAGAAGTAAACACTGCCTTTTGAGAATTGTGCCCCTGACCTTGAAGAAGAACAAAGATTGCTGGAAGAGGTTTGCTGATGAAACAATAACAGGATTCTTTAATAACAGCTATGCTGTTAATAGCAAATATATCTGTTCCCAAAAGGCTGATCAGCAATCCACCAGAAAAATTATTGCCCTTTGCAAAAGTTAGAATCATAGAATCATAGAGTTGGAAGAGGCCTCGTGGGTCATCCAGTTCAACCCCATTCTGCCAAGAAACAGGAAAATCGCATTCAAAGCACCCCCGACAGATGTCCATCTAGCCTCTGTTTATAAGCCTCCAAAGAAAAAGCCTCCACCACACTCTGGCAGAGAGTTCCACTGCTGAACAGTTCTCACAGTCAGGAAGTTCTTCCTCATGTTCAGGTGGAATCTCCTTTCTTGTAGTTTGAAGCCATTGTTTCGTGTCCTAGTCTCCAGGGCAGCAGAAAACAAGCTTGCTCCCTCCTCCCTGTGACTTCCTCTCACATTTATACATGGCCTTCATCATGTCTCTTCTCAGTTTTCTCTTCTGCAGGCTTAACATGCCCAGCTCTTTAAGCCGCTCCTCATAGGGCTTGTTCTCCAGACCCTGATCATTTTAGTGCTGCCCTGAGTACCCCTAGGAGTTGAGAAGGGTGGGGTAAAAATGTTCGAAATAAATAAATAAAATAAAATAGTTGCCCTTCTCTGTACAACATTCCAGCTTGTCAACATCTCCCTTCAACTGCGGTGCCCAGAATTGGCCAGAGTATTCCAGGTGTGGTCTGACCAAGGCAGAATAGAGGGGTAGCATGACTTCCCTGGATCTAGACACTATGATCCTATTTATGCAGGCTAAAATCCCATTGCCTTTTTTAGCTGCTGCATGACATTGTTGGCTCATGTTTAACTTGTCCAAGGACTCCAAGATCTTTTTCACACGTACTGCTCTCAAGCCAGGCATCCCCCATTCTGTATCTTTGCATTTCATTTTTTCCTGCCTAAGTGGAGTATCTTGCATTTGTCCCTGTTGAACTTCATTTTATTAGTTTTGGCCCATCTCTCTAATCTGTTAAGATCGTTTTGAATTCTGCTCCTGTCTTCTGGAGTATTGGCTATCCCTCCCAATTTGGTGTCGATCTGCAAACTTTATGATCATGCCTTCTAATCCTTCATCTAAGTCATTAATAAAGATGCTGAACAGGATCGGAACCCTGCTGATGGCACCCCACTTGTCATTTCTTTCCAGGATGAAGAGGAAGCATTGGGGATCCACTTAATGAATTACAGATCCATCTAACCATAGTCTTGCCTAGCCCACACTTGACTGGTGTGTTTGCCAGAAGGTCTTACTTACCTTGTCATGGGCCTTACTGAAATCCAGATACACTTCATCCATGTTATTCCCTGCATCTACCCCACTTATAACTCTACTGAAAAAAGAGATCAAATTAGTTTGCCATGACTTGTTTTTGATTAATTGATGGCAGAATTTTCAGCTTTTGCATAAGAGGAAACCCAGTCATGAACTACCTTGCTATAAAAAAACCCCACAGGAAACTCTCCTGCGTTCAAAAAGGCATTTAAACCCACAGGCAGTGGAAGTCCAAAGTATCTCCATGCACTGATGTGTTGTAGAAAAATGGAGTTCCATATCAGTATTTAAAACCATGTCGGATTATATTCTCATCGGTACTTGTGTCCAAGGAGGTAATAATGGGAATATATCTGAATTGTGGTCCTTGGACATTTGTGGAACCATGGGCTGAATGATGAGATTCCTCTGCCTCTTCTCTCAATACAGGAGGAGCCAGGTACAGGAAATTGTGGATATCATACAGATGGAAGGCACACCAGAAACGTGCCCAGTCCTCCATATACAAATGGGTAGCTCTTTGTATCCCCTCATGCCATATTACTATGGGGGAACAATAGTGAATGAAGTTGGGGAAATAAATTGTGTCAACTCAAACCAAAGTGTCACTTGTTTTTAAGAGGTGGAAGCAATGTCCTGTTCAAATACCCTGAAGACACATCTCCTGGTTCAGCCCCTGATGCTTTTTTTGAGACCAAAACTGGAAAGTCAGGAGGTTCCTGGAGGGCAGAACTTAGGGCCCTTCCATACAGTCCTATATCCCAGAATATCAAGGACCCAGAAAACCCAGTTCAAAGCAGAATTTGTGGGGTTTTCTGCCTTGATATTGTGGGATATAGGGCTGTGCGGAAGACCCTTAATATGAGATAATGGAGCCCCCGGTGGTGCAATGGGATAAACCTTTGTGCTGGCAGGACTGCTGACTGAAAGGTCAGTGGTTCGAATCCAGGGAGCAAGGTGAGCTCCAATCTGTCAGCTCTAGCTTCTCATGAGAAAAGTCTCCCACAGGATGTAATACATCGGGCGTCTCCTGGGCAATGTCCTTGCAGACAGCCAATTCTCTCACAATAGAAGTGACTTGCAGTTTCTCAAGTCACCCCTGAAACAAAAATAAAAAAGAGATAATGTAATCTGGTTTCATTGTTGAACGTATTGCCTAGCAATACATTTTGAAGGGTATGCATAGAAATGATTTCTGCCACCTTGAACTGGTAGAACAAAGAGAAGGATATCAATGGGAGAAATAGTTGAACACCACTCAATTATTGAAGACCAATAAGAAATGTGGAAAATTAAGAGCAAAGGAAAAATGTATAATAAATGAAACTGGAAAAGATTCATACACACAAAATTCAATCAAGAGTATGCTTTCTTTTGATTTTAGAGTTTCTTTATTATTTAAATGCATTCTAGGTTTTTAGGTGTTTGTCTTAAGCATGTAATTATGCTACAGCTCTGTGCGGAAAGTCGGGCCACTGCCTTTCAACAACTGAGCACAGAGGTCATCCATCTGCTCACTTTGAGCCACCGTGAAGTGCTCCTTCCAGTTTCCCACAGTGCCTGCAAATAGAGAAGACAGGACAGAAAAAAAGAAGAATCACTTCCTTTCCCCCATGTTCTTTTGCTAATGATCGATGTATTCCATTATATTTTTGGATTGTTTTCCAAATTAGTTTGCTTACCATTTCCCTGAATATCTGCCCCACTCTTTAATTTAATTGAACAATATTTTGGGAAATGGTGCCATTGGACAGGGCAACTAAAAAGTTTACCACATGAGGCAGGCAAATTGCAACTACAGCAAGGCAATAGTGTATCTCCCTGCCATTCTCAGGATGTGAGATGGCCTGGGAAGTATGTATTTTATTAATGCAAATAACCTGTTAATAACCCTTTGCAAATGAAACACCCTTCAAGAGTCTTCTACCAGAAGAGGAGAACAGAAAAGGAGCAACACCATGCAACCAGTCCCACTGTTATCCTGCTGTAATTGAAATCCAGGTGTAATAATCCTCCTTAAAACACAAGATCTAATTGGAAGCACAGTTGTGCTATAAAGCTGTGGAAACAACTATAGTCCAGTGGTTCCCAACCTGTGGTCCATGGATTACCAGTGGTTTGCAAGAACTAAAATATATTCCGCGACTTCACTGTTACTACACTGTTGCAACGAGAGAGAATGGTCTCGCAAAACCCTTTTATAGTGCTGAGGCTTATTAAATATGGTTTTTTGTGGGCAAGCAGATGGCGACTACTGGATGGCATATGTTCTGTATCAGAAACTAGAGGTGATGCGGTCTATCCAATGCAATTTTCTGAATCAGCACCCCAAATAACCAAACTGAATCTAAAGTTGACCAAAAACTGATTCGTAATCCTTTTGGTACTAATGTTGGAGAGTGGTCCCTGGTCGAATAATAATAATAATAATAATAATAATAATAATAATAATAATAATAATAATAATAATGGTTGGGAATTACTGCTTTAGTTTATACCAGTGTTTCTCAAACTCTGCTCCTCCAGGTATTTTGGACTTCAGTTCCCAGAAATCCCAGCAAGGTTACCAGCTGTTAGGAATTGTGGGAGCTGAAGTCTAAAACACCTGGAGGAGCAGGGTTTGAGAAACATTGCTCTATACTGTCATGCTAGTATAATATTGATCTAATGTTTATTTTACTCAATCACAGCTCATGGAAGGTGACATCTGAGAGCCCCTTCAGATGGGAGTGTGACCAAATTTATTATTTACTAGCTGTCTCCTGCCATGCATTGCTGTGGCCCAGTCTGTGTATATGTGTTTTGTGTGTATATATGCATATCTCTGTGTTTATATATATGTGTGTGTGTGTATGTGTATATATGTGTGTTTGTGTATATGTGGTTTTGCGCATGCATTGTAATTTTTTTTTGTTTTTTGGCTTTTTAAGGGTCTTTTGCTATGCTTTTCTTTTTTATGAGTGATGGTCACTCGTTGGCCTGATACATGTATTATGCCCAAATTTGGTGTCAATTTGTCCAGTGATTTTTGAGTTATGTTAATCCCACAAACGAACATTACATTTTTATTTATATAGATTTATTTATTTGCGACATTTATATGCCACCCTTCCCACCCTGAAGTAATATGTAAACACAATATATTATATTATTACCATAGCACAATATTAGTATTATATATTACTATATTGTACTATACAATTATATTGTAATATTATTAGTAATATTACATGTAATATAAATATATAATTATCATATTATTATTATTAGTATTATTATAATATTATCAATATTATATGTATACACAATAAATTAATCTGTGAATAATCAAATCTGCAATGGTCAAACTCACCAATATTGGGGCCAACTGTATTCTCCAGAACACGAAAGCTTTGATACTTCTGGGACTTTCTTTCATTCTGGATTAGCCCAAGCAGCCAAATAGAGATCATTGCTTTCGTCATATATTGGAGTAATTTATGGATCTACTGTAATTTGCACGTTGTTCTAACCATGATACTATTCACCATAGGACCCCATTGTTATCCAATCTTAGTGCAATTCATCCTTTGGTCTCACCTTTTCTCATGAAGGGGGATATGCTATGATCTAGCAAGCTGGAAGGCATTGTGGTGTAATTAGTCATTGGATTTACTTTCATGCGCTCAAATTTTGTGTGCAGAACAATTTGATTCAGAACTGATTCTGGGAGCTGTATATCTAGGAACTCAGCAACTTTCCGGATTTCCCGACCTGGATCCTAGAGAGAGAGAGAGAAACATGAAATTAGATGAATGAAGTGAGGGAGTTGTTTATGGCTCTCAAACCAATGTTCGGACTCTGTTTCTTGCATCATGGGGCAAAGAAATGAATCTTGGTTATGTATGACTTCCAGTATTTGTTTCTTGAGTCTTGGTGCTGTAAAGAGTCCCTAGCAATATATAAAGTGTGGCATTGCTTGGGATAACGCTCTCAGAAAAGCTGCTTGATAAATGAATGTGCTACTGCATTTATATGCATTCCACATTTTTAATTTTTTATTAGATTATGTAAGTAGAGTATAACATTTCACATTAAAGTATAACATTTCACATTCACATTACTGAAAAAGGGAAAAGTTAAAAAAATACCCCACATATTTATTCATATCATTCTGATTAATCTGTATTCTTAGGCTTTCCGTTTCTATACTTGTCTACTATTTATATCTATCTGCTGCCCTGGAGACTAGGACTCGGAGCAATGGCTTCAAACTACAAGAAAGGAGATTTCCATCTGAACATTAGGAAGAACTTCCTGATTGTGAGAGCTGTTCAGCAGTGGAACTCTCTGCCCCCAGAGTGTGGTGGAGGCTCCTTCTTTGGAGGCTTTTAAACAGAGCTGGATGGCCATCTGTCGGGGGTGCTTTGATTGCGATTTTCCTGCTTCTTGGCAGGGGGTTGGACTCTTCCAACTCTATGATTCTATGATTCTATCTCTCCCCCCACCCCATTAACAGTTTTACCTCTCTTTTAAGTATTATTTTATTTCTTCGATCGTGGAAATAGTCTAATTCAGTTCCTTGTATTCTCCTTTCAGTAATATAATCCTGTAGCATATTATCAGAGTCCCACCACATATGTATAAAGGTTCCTATTTCACCACATTTATGGCAATATAGTTTTGATGTGCTTTTTATAATATTGGCTAGTTGATGTGCGGATCGGTACAAATTTACCAGACTTTTCCATTGTGTTTCCTTGGCCCTTAGGTGTCTATTTTTTAGTTATACTTAACCAGATTCCCAGGATTTAGTTTTGTGGTGAGGCTTAGAATTGTCTGGGAAAGTACCTTTCAATGAAAAAAAAAATCCTTGAAAATCTCAGGCTTGGTTCCTAAACAAATCAATTTTAATTTGAGGATCTTGTGGTGCGGCTACACTGAAGGAATAATGCAGTTTGATACCACTTGAACTGCCAGGGCTCAATGCTATGGGTAAATGGGAGTTATAGTCTGATAAGCTACCAGCACTCTTTGGCAGAAAAGGACAAAGTCTTTGTAAAACTACAACGTATCTGGGTGAGGGAAACTCAGCCTCGACAAACAAACTTTAGATTTCCCCCCTTCATCTGGAGGCACTCTTTGAGAACATGAGTCTACTTCCCTGAGCTGCAATGCCAGAAATCAATTCCTCCCTATGGAAACTCCAAATCCAAGGATACTAGAGTTAAGGTGCTATAGTTGTGTAGTATGAATATAGCTCTGCCTTTTAGGCCAAATTTTAGGAACTTTCCAAGGTGCTGAACCCACTGCGAGTTAGGTTTCAAAAACTATTGTTTACCTCTTTCATGTCTTCATAAAAGAGATAGAGAATCGGATGTCGGTCCTTGGCCTCCCACCAGCCACGAACGTGGTCAAACCACGAACCGAGGGCAACTATAAGACAAAAGAATAGAAAAGGAATTTGGTTTCTAAGATAGACCTCCAGTCTACCTCTCCCTGTCCTGCAGAGCTATAACTTTTTAAGGAGGGAAAGAAAACAATGGAAAACTTGCAAGTTTCTCAGCCAGTTAAATTAAGATCTTATGCTTATTACTCACCTTCTCTCCCAAACTTGGAGAAAGGCAGTAGTTAATATGAAACACTCTTTTGATCTCTATCCCAAGGATTCTGGTTTACAAATACTTATATTTAGTTAGATGCCACATTATTTTTCTCTACTACTTTCCATATTTAGTCTCTGTTTACCTTTCCCAGCTATGAAAGTCTCCAGAAACTCTTCCCAGGTTCCAGGCTCTGGCATCGTCTTGTTCATCCGGTGGAAATGGAAGTAAGAGACCACATTGTCTTTGGCATTCCTTGCCACATAAATAATCTGTGGAAATAATACAAAAAGGCTACAAATCATTTATGGCCATACTTTGCCCCACAGATGTAGCTCATTATGCTGGTGATGAGATGAGACATCTTATCTGTTTATCACCATCTCTGGTATCTGTGGATAACATGTAAAAAAATATTTCCCAGGTGGGCACAACATTATTGCTGTTTTCTTGAAGCCAATCTTTTCCTTCCCATTCAAAAAAAGAAAGGTCAATGGCCATAATTTCTGTAGTTATTTCCAAACTCTGCAATTTCTCCTTTGCGGTAGGTCATTGCTATTTGAGGGTGTGTCTACACCAGGAGTCCTCAAACTTTTTAAACAGAGGGCCAGTTCACAGTCCCTCAGACTGTTGGAGGGCGGATTATAATTTGAAAAAAATATGAATGAATTCTTATGCACACTGCACATATCTTATTTGTAGTGCAAAAACACTTTAAAACAATACAATAAATAAATTAAGAATAATTTTAACAAATATAAACTTATTAGTATTTCAATGGAAAGTGTGGGCCTGCTTTTGGCTGATGAGATAGGATTGTTGTTGTTGTTGTTGTTGTTGTGCTTTCAAGTCATTTCAGACTTAGGTTGACCCTGAGTGAGGGCCAGGTAAATAACATTGGAGGGCCGTATCTACCCCCCAGGCCTTAGTTTGAGGACCCCTGGTCTCCACTTTCCACTAAACCTGGTACCTGTCCACATCTCCATGTTGGTGTCTCACTGGTCCAGTCAGCTTTGTCCAAACTCCAGGGTGATGTAGGCACCTCTGTTGGTTTTGAATTAAACTTTGGCTGAAACATGTTAAACTCCTCTTCTTTGAGGATGTAAGAATCTATCCCTCCTCTTTCTGCCTTCAATAGCAAAGTTTTGTTAAATAAGTAATACCCTGGAATAAGTAATGCTCTGGAATAAATCAGCTTTGTTAACTTGGGCATACCTGTACTTTTGCCAGCTCACACAATTCAAGACACGGCAATTGTACTGAAATAGATCCTATAATGAAATTAGTTGAGATTAAGAAAGCCCTGCCCTCCCTCTGTCTTCAATTCAGTTGGCCTCACCTTAGACTTTTGTTCCCAGAAAGAAGGAGGCAAGAGCTGGACTGGGAGGTGAGACTTGAGGGTGCGTGGAGAGGCCATTGCATTGGCTTCTTCAACACCTGAAACAAAGGGTGAGAGTTCAGCCTCAAGAGAGTAAATCTTTTGCATTGTCCTTCTCCTTTGACTATATAAAGATGAAAAAAATCATTCTACTAACCAGAGATGTTGAGTTTAGGAAGGAACATCTCTATGAAAGGCATTCGTTCATGGATGGGGGCCCGAGCACATTTCTGCAGATCTCCTCCATGCTGGACCATGTCCACAATTTCCTGTATCCAGGTGGTTCCTATTGAGGTGGGCAGAAAAGTGAAGGAGATGAACCATGAGCCCCCTCAATTTGGCCAAAGCCCCCCATTCGCACAAACCTCTCAAACTTCCACTGCTCTTTCCCCAAGGCAATGTTGATACTTTTCTTGCTTCGTACCTGCTTTGGGGTAAGTGCAGATAAGAAGGTCATCAGGCCGAGCCTTGAAGTTCCAGATGGCACCCCAGCCATTGATCATATCACTTGGAAAAGGGACTCCATTAATATCTAGAAGTGTTGAGCGCTTGTAAGATTCAGAGTCCCCACCTTTTTCAGAATCCATGACCTGCTGAGGCAGCAAGAGAAACATCTACTTTAATATGGTTCTCACATCAGTTGAGGACCCAATGCCCATTCTTTATTCCCATCGGCACCAATTTCTCGATGCTGGAATTCAAGATCATGTATACTTACCAGCTTAACTTCTTAATCTGACAGCTCGATTTCCTTCCTTCTCTGCCTTTCTCTCTTGTTCCTGAAGTTAGTTTATGACCCAGGAATCAACACCGTGCGTGTTTGTGTTGGGGTGTGTGTGTGTCCTAGTACAAATGAAGGGTGTGTGTGTCCCTGGCAAACAACTTTCACCTGCTATAGCTGGTCATTCAAGTGAACCTTCCCCTTAGAGGGTTGTGCGTAGTTGGAACCTCCCCTCCAAATGAAAACAATATCAAGAAGAGTGCTTGTATTTCCTTGTGGAAGTTAGTTTCACTATCTCAAACTCCACTATTAAACAGCTACAATTTCTGAACAGGCCAGCCCAATTTGTGCCCTGAATGTGCAGACTCTCAGCTTTTTTGTTCGGTGCATCTTAAGGTCATCTGCAAGGTATGCTGACAGAGTGGGATGTGTAGCCTTACCTGACACATCACAAGGACTTGGGTTTACTACTCTAACAATGTCTATTTGCCTGGCAGGTATATCCTTCTTCAGTAAGACAAATGGTTTGGAGCAATCATCCAACTCGTTCTTGATTAGGTGGGCAGTGGAATGATGGAAACTGATGGTGCTTTCCTTTAAGGATGGTAGAAGCCCTATATAGTATAGTCCCCTCAGGAGAGTGGCTAAACAGTGAAGTTATGTAGATCCTAAGGACAAGGCAAGCCTATTTTCAGCCGCTTTCACGGAGGCATTTTTGTGGGACATTCAGGATCGGGAAATTCATGGCACCTGCAGATCTTGACAGGACAAGCTCTACAGTGGGGGGGGAATGTTACAATAAGTAAGAAGATTTTGAAATTCAGGATTAGGACTGGGGTAGTTACTACAGCAGTGGAAGGTGGGGTCCTGATAGGTGCAATCAAAGGCTGAGGAGATGGAGGTTGAGTGCCTATGTGAACTACATCTGACCAGAGTTGGTCATGGAGGCACCTGGATTATTGTAGGGAGGATACTTATGATGATGTGGTTAAGGACCTTGAAGAATGGCCTTGGCGTAAGGTCGAACTTAAACAGGGGCAGGGGCAAGATAGAAACACTTGAGAGATAGTGAAGGGTGCTGTGGTCTCCAGCATGTCTCAAGGTGTAAACAAGAGCCCTATAAAAATGCTTTGAACAAGTTGGAGTTTCAATGTGAATCTGTCGGCCAAGGTATGGTGTATCCAGTGGCTACATCTGAAAGGATCCATCCAGCTGTTCGCTGGGGCTCCCAGCAGATTATTTGGGGTATTGCTCTGATGGCTGTATAACCTACTTACTATATAGTAAATCTTAAACCTTTTTATCTACAAACTGTGCCTGCTATTAATTGCAAATCCAAACACAGAACCTCTCTTGCATTTGGCAAGACAGCTGAATGGCTGTCTGCTGAGAAGGGTTGAAGACTGTAACTTTAATTAAAAACATGCTAATTAAAAAAAATTAACCAGCAGTTAGTTGAATCTATAGGTCAGGAGTCCATAGATATGGAGGATTCATCGAATTCTTTAAAATGATCCTATATTCCAGTGTTCTAGTGAGGCCCTTCCCTCTGCCCTACTACATTCGTAAGTCCATCTGGTGAGGACAGAGAAGAGGAACTCTTCAGTGCCTGCTCCCAGGCTCTGAAACTCTCTTTTTAGAGAGGTTGGATTGACAGCCTCCCTGGGATGAGAAACCTCACTTTCGACTACTGGGATGATTCCTTCAGCACTGCCTTTGAAAAATTGTGCAATTTTTTTTTAGGAAAGACAGGCAGACAAATACTAGCATCCTGGGAGAAGCAAAGTGATGATTCCTTTCTCATATTGTATCTCTTTTCCCTTACCTCTCCCAAAGGAAATATTTCCCCCTGTCCCACCTGTACACCCACTGACTGTGGGGACCTCCTAGATGCCCTCAAGGTTCCAAGACATGCCTAAGGTGAGGAGGAAACTCATGCCAATGCCATTCAAGGGCTGGCTTTTTTCTTCCTCTGAAGCTCAGGGGACCAGGGCTGTGAGGAAGACGAGCAAGTGTGAGGCCTCTGTGGCACTGCATGTCCTGGACAGTCTTTGCTCCTCCAAGTTTGGGAAAGAGCAGTGTTAGAACTCTGTAACACATTGATGCATCATGTTTCATTGAGCCTGTGTGTCTTCCACAATGAAAGGGGCCATGAACAATGTCTTGGAAGAGGTAGTGGTTGAGCTGTCCAAAATCACTGTCATCCATTATTATTATTATTATTATTATTATTAGTAGTAGTAGTAGTAGTAGTAGTAGTAGTAGTAGTAGTATTTCTTACCCGTCTCTCCTCAGGGGACAGGAGGAAGTCCTTAAAGTACCATAGATTTTAAAAACCTCATTTAAAACACTTAGATTAAAACAAATTAAAACAGTTTATACTAATAAAATGTACATATACAAAATTCATAGATGAAAATTGACAAAATAGGCCTTCTGGAGGAGAAAGGTCTATAATGGTGTCTGAAATTCTGAAAGCTTGTTTAGTCACATTCTGGCTTATTTTTCTGGTTTTATTTTTTAATAAAAAGGTTTAATTTTTTTCATCAAAGTAGTTTATTGCATGGGCCCAAGGCCATGACAAAGAGTACCACATGCTCACAATATTACCCTCGGAGCAACAAACACCAAGGTTGCTAAACAGAAACCATAATCATACTCCCACAAAGACTCAAAACAATGCAAAAACAATGCAATGCAAGTTAACAATAATTAATGTACATTTTGGGAGAGGGTCCAGTTAACTCTTATGGCAATTTTACCTATCTCTGTCTTTCTGATCTTTTTTTGCAGATAGAGCAAAAAGGTTTACTACAAAATTCAAAACATTTCACACAATACAGTTATTTTGTTATCTCATCAATTCCCAGATCTATATTCTCCCCATCATTCAGACAGGGGTGTACAAGGTGTGTTCAAAAAGTATCCAACCACAAATCTTTGTGCATAAAAAAAATGAAGCTCGGGAGGTATGGTTTGGTGCATGTTTGTAGGCAATCTTAATGCTCATGCTTGAATATTTTTCTGCTTGCAGAAGCTGTCAATCACTAGCAGGCAGCCGATGAGTGAGGAAGTATAAATGCCAAAACTCGTGCCAAAGCTGCTAATGTTCATGCAGAACCAACTCCATTTGGAGATCGTGCAGGACATGCTGAAGACCACAAACAGTGATCTCAACTTCCTCAACACAGTGATCACTGACGATGAGTTCGGGGTTTCTGGCTAGGACCCAGAAACCAAGTAGCAGTCATCAGAATGAAAGCATCCAACATCTCTGAAGCTAAAAAAAAAAAGAAAAGCAAGGCAGGTCTGTAGCAATCTCAAAGTCATGTTAAACTAGTTAAACTGTGACGGCGCGAGTGGCGCCGCCTATGTGTAAAACTGTTAGTTGCAAGATTTAAACTGTTGTATCATGCTTACTCCTGCCTTTTTACCCTGCTTATGTATAGTTGGATTGATGGGTTATTTGTAGCTGTCAATCAGTGTTGTTTGCACCAGCTGAATTGCTTTTTCAGCTCAATTGTTTGGCTCCACCTGGAGGAGGGGAATACTTCCCTTTTTTATTCCACCTTCAGAGTTTCTATCAGATGGATGTAAGAGACTTGGCTCTAAAAGCCCCTGATTAAATTACCCCTCAGCACCAATTCTGAGGTTTTTTACCCTTGAGACTTATGCTTCATGTTCAGACCAACCTGAACGATGTTGGGAAGTCTCAAGCGCCTTCAGACCAGTTCTTTTGGCACCAGAGGAAGACCCTGAGTCTTCAAACATAGGCCATCTGGACTGGGGTTGTGGATTGCTCCGACATTTACAGCCATTGAGGAATGAGGGAACTTGGAAAAGCTTCTCAGCTGAAAACTCATTGGACCCAGGACTAACTGAGACTGTAGTGTACATTTTCCTTTAACCCTTTGAAACTTCCAGCTTATTGCCTTAAAGAGATAACTTTTTGTGAACAATAAACTTATTTTTAGTTATCTACAGTGTTTTGGGTCTTTGAGAGTTCCAGTTTCCTAAAGGAGGGCAAGAAGCAATCCCCTGGGGAAAGATGTCACGTCCATGCCTCTTTCACTAAGAGCTATAGCCCCCAGGCGCGACGGCACATAAACTCCTCTTCTTTGAGCATCAGAGGTTCCTGATACCTGTGCAATTTGGCATACTTAATTTCCTCTATAGGATCTATTAAACCTCCCAATTTCATCAAATCTGTGAAGAAGCAAAAATCATATATTGTCGAAGGCTTTCATGGCCAGAACCACTGGGTTGTTGTAGGTTTTTTCAGGCTATATGGCCATGTTCTAGAGCAGTGGTTCTCAACCTTTTTAATGCCGCGACCCCTTAATACAGTTCCTCATGTTGTGGTGACCCCCAACCATAAAATTATTTTTGTTGCTACTTCATAATTATAATTTTGCTACTGAATTCTAATGCAAATATCTAATATGCAAGATGTATTTTCATTGTTACAAATTGAACATAATTAAAGCATAGTGACTAATCACAAAAACAATATGTTTGGGGGAGTATGGACAATGGATGATGGGATTTGCAATACTTTCAACCGATACAGCTCTGTCTTCCACAGATCACTGCCATCCCCCCCCCCCCCCAAATGAATGACAGATCTGGACCAGATTTGGCAAAAAGAACCTCAATGACCAACAGAAAATACTGGCGGGGGGGGGGGGGTTGGGAGGAATTCACAGTGATTTAATAATAATAGGATCCTAGACTTGCAAGAGACCTCCAAAAGCCATCCAGTCCAACCCCCTCCTGTCATAAAGGAACACAATTAAAGCCCTCTCAACAAATGGCCACTCAGCCTCTGCTTAACAACAATAGAATCGTAAGGTGGGAGAGACATCCAAAGGCTATCCAATCCAACCTCATTCTTGCATAAGGGAATGCACAATCAAAGCACTCTTGACAGATGGCCAGTCTGCTTCTGCTTAATGATGATGATGATAATAATCGTAATAATAGAATCCTAAAGTGGGAAGAGACTTCCATGGGCCATTCAGTCTAACCCCCTTCTGCCATAAGGGAAAGACACAATCAAAGTACACCTGACAGATGGTCAGTCTGCCTCTGCTTGATGATGATAATAGAAGGAAGGGTGGAAGGAAAGGGAGGAAGAGGAAAGGGAGGGAGGAAAAGATGGAAAGGAAGGAGGGACAGGAAGGATGGAAAAAGGGAGGGAGGGAAGGAAGGAGGGAAAGTAGGAAAGGAAGGAGAGAAGGGAGGAGGGAGGGAAGGAAAGGGAGGAAGAAGGAAATGAAGGGAGGGAAGGAGGGAAAGAAGGAAAGGAAGAAGGAGGGACAGGAAGGAAGGAAAAAGGAAGGAAGGGAAAGAAGGGAGGGAGGGAAAGAAGGAAAGGAAGAGGGACAGGAAGGAAGGGAAGGAAGGAAAGAAGGAGGGGAAGGAAGGAAGGAAGGAAGGAAGGAAGGAAGGAGAAGGAAGGAAGGAAGGAAGGAAGGAAAGGAAAAGAAGGGGAAGGAAGGAAAGGGAGGAAGAAGGAATGGAAT